ATATCCTCCCTGCCTACAGTTTATCTTAGGGCTAGACATAAAAATTAATAACATCCAATTGTATTGTTAAGTCTATTCCACCGACATTTACATGTAACACAAGGCCAAAATCTCTTTACCCCACCCACCCCAGGTTTGTAACCTTACCAGATCCTGATGACAACCGCTACGTGTACTCAGTTAGCCACAGGTCTATGCTTCATATTTATATCACCATTTCCATGACAGCAGTTCTGTTGAATTCAGCGACACTTACCCTATAGACATATAATGTAATTAACTGGGTGGCCTAGGGCTCAGCCGGCTCTTGATTTGCTCAACGAAATGCTGTTTGGAGGGAAAGGGAGAGAGCTGGTAAAATCAACATGATCATTATCTTAGTGGTCAACTGTCGTACCTGTGAAAGTGGGATATAAGAGAGGGGAGGGAAGGCTGTGGATGGAATTTGAGATGAAAGGCCTGAGTGGTCAGTAAATGAAAGGCTAATAGGGGAAGGGAGGGTTGGAAGGTTGGATTTCCAATTGTTGAAAAAATCAAGTGAATTAGGAATAGTAACTAAATTGTAGTTAAGAGAATCAAAATGCACCAGAGCGATTTTCGGTTGATATCATCCCGCAGAGAGAAAGAATATCTCATCAGTAATGTTTTTCAGAACAGTTAAATAGCAAGATGCATTTACAAGGCTGTGCTCTAGCAGTGCCTGGTCACCAACCGGCTTTCATGTTCGGGTGACAAGATAACATACCTAGTCGCTTGGCCGGGCAACTTCCTTTTTGAGATTTAACTTAGAGATGAAAACAGTCTCACAATAATAAATTTGTCTTTCCCTTTTTTGATTTCTTGTGTTGTATTCAAAACTTCGGTCGTTCAACTTGGTTCGATGCGTACGTTTAACACTGACCTGCAGTGATACAGACAGCAGTTTCTTTGTTTACTCTGTATAGTGTCAACAAGAAGTCTTCTTAGTTCTCATGGTTTGTATAATGTGCATGAAAAGTCCCTAATTGAAGGAGAATGTGAACTATAGAGGGAAAAGAGGGAATTGGAAAAAGACTTAATTTTTCTACATATAACAACCATTTTAACTCATAAAAATGTGTACTGTAAATTTTGTCTTTCTTTATGGACTTTTGACAACAGTATTACAAAAAATCACATTTGAACCTTTATCTTTGGCATCTGTAAATAGGATAAATGCCCTAGAAACAATGCAAGACATTTTTATTTGAGGGTCAATCGGTTATCATATATTTATTAATGCTATTAGATAATTATAATTAATTAAGTTTGATTTTTTTTGTTTTTGTCCGGACCACCAAGCTGGACCTCTGGGCAACCTAGCCTACAAGGTTGGGTGCCCGAAGGGCTCCCTAGAATTTTTGTTAGAGCACAGCCTTGGTTTACTTAATGTTGCAAGGAAACAATTTATTGATCTTTTGAAACCAGTACTTCTGAATTTAAAAATGTTTCAGGAATTTATTTTAAAAAACAGAAATGTAACAATGAGATGCACACTGAGTCTTTTTCGAAAGAATAACCTGTTAAAGTTAATTTTAAAAAAATCTTATTATATGTAAATTATTAAATAATTTTAATCTTGATTGCAGTGAAAGTGGAAATGAAGCTTAAAGGATAGAGAATTGACTAACCGGAGGAACACTGTTTGAATGGTATGATTGTTTATACCCAGAGCTTGTTACTTTACTTTACAAACTACAATTAAAACTTGCATGATGGTAAATTTCAATCAGGGTCACTCAATCAGACAGCATCTAAGACATTTCATAAACAAATGTGATGTAAACATGTGTTGAAGAGATCACTGCTGAAATGCTGGGTGAGGACCACTAAATCTTGATGATACCCTACAGCTACAAAGCTCACTGCGATAAGCAATATGTGTCATGTTAGTGTATACCTAACTGGTGTAGAATGCTACATTTCAATATGTGTGACTTTCTTTGTGACTGTGATGTTTAAATCCAGCTGTCACCCTGCTGTAAGAGACTATCCCCAAAATAGGGGATCCACGGTTCTCATTAACTGCTGGTCGCCAGCTAAGAAAATGGCTACTTCGATTTCTGAGCTGCCTACTTTTTATCGAGGTTAAATATTAATACTTATTTAACTCAGTTAACAACGAGGAGCATGTTGCTCAGTTGTTAGCGTTGCATTGGTGTGGCGTTAGTGTTTATTAGCGTTTTTTGGTGGCATGCTGTGGCGTTTGTTTTGTTGCTTGGGTTTGCGTCACTGTAGTAGGCCTGGTGTGGAGCAGTTTCCTGTGCCCCCGGGTCAACGGTGTATTGTTGCAATTTATGCATGTGCCTTTACATGTGGTCGTAGTTTTACTGTGCTTAGTGTTCGGGGCGTCTTGATCAGTTTTGGAGTTTTTTTAGTGTTTTCTCCCACCCTCCTCTCCCTTTATTATTTTTACCTTATTTATTATTAATTTATTAGTATTTTTATTGTTATTTTGTTACTTATTTTTATTGTTGTTATTATTATTATTGTTTATTATTGTTATTATTTTTATTATTTCCACTGAGCTCCTGGCTCTGTGTGATGTGTGCTTGGGCTGGGGCTGGGTATGGCGGGCAGGGCTCATGGCTGGGTTGCGGGTTTGGGGTCGGCAGCTCCAGCCCCTGGGTTCCCGGGCACCCAACCTCCATGTGCGACTCGGCTATTAATGATATATAATACGTATGTAAGTTGTAAAGAGTAATTTGGAGAAAACACAGGTTTTCTGGAATGTGACTGAGCGTTGACCCTCCTTGTCTCAGGTTAGTAGAGGCCATAGCTAAGAAGGGGACTTGGGTCGGGATGTGGTGTATGTTTTTTAATTACAGTGTAGGATAAAAATCGAAAAAAGTGTCTTTGTATGTAAATCCCCTAAAATTCTTGGCATGCCCCCAGACCTCCCTTGAAACTTGTGCCTTCAGCATTTGATTTAGTGACAGCTGTCTACTTCACAAAACTAGCCCTCTATTCTCCACAGGCAGCACAGATGTTGATTATGATTAATACATGACATTATGCTGTTGGCGAATGCCTTACAATTTTAACCATTTAAAAGACAATGTATCAGTCAGAATGCTTCGAAAATTGCTCTAAATGCTATGTGTAGAAAATAATCTCAATAAAAGTGGCTTACCTTATGTTTGAATTGTGTATTTTGATGTCTTCGTGTTCCTGTAGGTGGGTTAAAGCCATTTAGGTGAGATACACTTATTGAAATTATTTCCTACACGTAGTATTTAGAGCGATTTTCGAAGCATTCTCATGTCTTATAAACTGCTAAAATTGTAATACAATCGCCAACAGCACAATGTCATGTACAGTGTATTAATTGTATTCAACGTCTTGGCCGCCTGTGTACTCCCTAAATGAATGAGAACCCTGGGATTGTATGTTGGCTGAGTGATTATGCATAGGAAATATTAATTATTTGTTTGTGAGGAAATATTATGCATGAATTTGACAGATACAAAAAGCTACAAGAGGATTTGATTTTAGCCCTGAGGGTACTTGTTATAATGTCCTATACAGCGAGGTTCTGCTTGAAAGGTTCAGGCTTCATGTATATTAAAGGTTAAGGGGTTCACAAGTTGAGGTATATGAAGGGTGAAGGAAGATCTGTCTTTTAGGTATTCAGATCAAAAGGGACTTTTAATTAAATTTTTTCGAACAAACAAACTTTACAGTGGTATCATATAATTTAGACCTTGCGGCAGAGCCTCCCCATGTAAAACTTTGTAGAGTACCTTCCCCCCTCCCTCCGCTGGGGGGATTTTAGATGTAAGGGAGGTAAAAGCAGTATAAAGAAAGTCAAAGAAGGGTAGCCATTTTTACCAAAGAAAACTCAATNAAGAAGGCGGGAATCAGTTTTATTAAGGAAGTTTTTTTTTGAGCCAAGGACTACTGGCACTCCATCAATTCTAATTGTCCACAGAGATTTGTCTTGAGAAAGATTTTTCCTGGTTACTGACATTTCAGTAATCTGGGGATATATAAACTTGTTGCCTACACAGGCAACGTTGCATGTGCTAAATGAATTGTTGACATCTGCAGGACCAGATGACTTTTTCTAGACTGGCAGAAGTCAACCCATCTGGCCAAAAGAAAGCATGACTGGGGACTTACAGTGATATGATAAACGTGGGTTACCTCAGTCACCAACAAAAAGCATTGCCCCAGACTACGGTATTCAAAAACTATTACAGCATATTGATTTGACATTGACATATTATTAAAAAATATTGAGTCATTATTTTCTAATTGACGGGCAATATTGTCATTAATTCACAGTCTCCGTCCAGTTTGGCCAATAAGCATCCTCTAGATAAGACTGTCCACCCTTCCCTCTTATGCCTTTTTCCCACTGCGCTTCGCACTTCTTATACAAATACATCGCAGCTCTAGCATCTTCAACAGAACTGTGTTCGTTCACCTGAATATCCCACTTCAACAACTGTCTAGTCAGGCGTTTTAGCGAAGGCGTAGAGTTCCGGGGAAACCCGGCTAAGGCGCGCAATGGTATATGTTTTGATGTGTCCCTGATGAGATCGGAGGGGTGTCTCAAATTCAGTACTTTCAAATCAAACTGTAAAGCATGCCCTACAAGTATGCGTTTCTTGATAAGCCGTTTAACTTTCTTTCTTGCTGAGCGAAAGGTTATCGCGTTGTTCATGTGTTTGGGGCGGATACCACTCCATTGTGTTCTATAATCCGTGATGGGTTTGTCGGGTTTCACATACACGTCGTATACAACTTCACCATCATAGTTCACGATGCTACATCTCGCCAAAGCACTTGTCTTCTCGTCGCCGACGCCAACCATTTCGCAGTCTAAAGCAACAGGAGGCACTGTTTTCGGCTTGTTGAAATCGTTCTTCCCTGTAACAACCGTATTTTTCAAGTTGTCTCCTTCACTTTCAACACAAAAGGAATCGTTTGAAGAACAAGTAGACATGTTGTCCACGGAAATTCTATCACAGTTATCGCGGCTTACTTCGATGTGTAATTTGTTCATATCCGTTCGCCGGCGGACATTTCTTCGATTTCTCAATTCCATACATGTGCATGCGGACAAAGAGATGACCAACCAAGATGAGGTCGAAAGGGCGTCCGCGATTACGGCAGGCTTAAATGTGATGTTTCAGCTAGAAAAAAATGTCGCGGACAATTGGGATAATTTTTGGAGATAGCTGATAGACTTGCCACAAGTCAACCTTTGCCTAATCTTTCGCTTATTCATCTCCCTCGAGCGAAGCAAGATGTATATCTTGTTTCGATCAAACTGTTCTCAGGAAGCACATGCATGCAGGCTACAGAGCGCTAAAGCCGTTTGCGCTCAGAATGAACTCGAGTCAGAGCCGTATCTGATTCATTTCTAAAGGTGGACAAACCCTCTGCAGTCCTTCCGGAATTGGCGAGTACTTCAGTTTCCTTGTTAGTTGTAGAACAAACGAGAATAAATTCCTGTCACATGCGAAAAGACGACATTGATGGGGGATGGAAGAGCTCGCACATTTACTTGTGCAAGAGCTAGTTTTCTTCAGACAAGCACGTCGGCTTAAACAATGACCGAAGGACAAGCACACCTCTTCAGCACTTATCTTCTGGGTGCGAAGAGATGAAGGTTGAACGAAAGTGTCTTGCTGGAGGAAGAACAAAAATGGGACAAACGTATGAGTACTAGTACTGAAATCACTGCTTTTAACACTTTTTTCTAATTCCACACTTCTCTTTGAGTGAGACAAGTTTAACGACTTGGGAAGCTTCTTCAGCCGGGACAAATAACGGACAGATTGGATAACTAAATTCAATTTCTCAAACGTCTTAGTACAAAAGGTTAATGCGCCCCGGCATTTTCAAGAAGATTGTAGCCCGATAACTGTTCTTCTGCTGCTCCATGGACGCGGTCTTGCAAATGTACCTTTAAAATATTTACTAGTATCATATACTCTTGTCTAATTGCTGCGATTTTCTAACGCGTATGTTGTTACAATTCGATTGTGAAATAAAAGCCTGAAAAAAAAACCAGACTTTTCTTTCACAACTGCTCAAATTGTGTGTATAACTGTAGACTACGGGTAGTCCCGTTCGTTGTACGTGACGCGAAAGAAAACCGCAAGAAAAAAATGGCCGCGCGAAATCCTGGGAGGAAGGAGCGCGCTCCTCACCCCTTGGATTTCGCGCGGCCATTTCATACCTGCTTGTAAACAAGGACTAACAGACATAAACACTGAGATATAGACTTGTTAATTCTCTATCGCTTGTCTCGATGACTCCCAATGCTGTATCTTTCATTTTCCTTTATTTGAAAACTAAAGAGTTCGGGTAGAACCGCTTATTCCCATACTTTTGTGACTGTATAGCTGGTTTTCACATGACGTCACTAAAATTCAAACTACAAAGCTATTGATCTTCCTGAGATTTAACTTTAGTGATGTATAAGAGCAGCTGAAAACTAATATTTAAACAAATTTTCGCTNAATCACTGCTTTTAACACTTTTTTCTAATTCCACACTTCTCTTTGAGTGAGATAAGTTAAACGATTTGGGGAGCTTCTTCAGCCGGGACAAATAGCGGACAGATTGGATAACTAAATTCAATTTCTCAAACGTCTTAGTCCAAAAGGTTAATGCGCCCCGGCATTTTCAAGAAGATTGTAGCCCGATAACTATTCTTCTGTTGCTCCATGGACGCGGTCTTGCAAATGTGCCTTTAAAATATTTACTAGTATCATGTACTCTTGTCTAATTGCTGCGATTTTCTTACGCGTATGTTGTTACAATTCGATTGTGAAATAAAAGCCTGAAAAAAAATCAGGCTTTTCTTTCACAACTGCTCAAATTGGGTGTATAACTGTAGACTAAGAGTAGTTCCGTTCGTTGTACGTGACGCGAAAGAAAACCGCAAGAAAAAAATGGCCGCGCGAAACCCTGGGAGGAAGGAGCGCGCTCCTCACCCCTTGGATTTCGCGCGGCCATTTCATACCTGCTTGTAAACAAGGACTAACAGACATAAACACTGAGATATAGACTTGTTAATTCTCTATCGCTTGTCTCGATGACTCCCAATGCTGTATCTTTCATTTTCCTTTATTTGAAAACTAAAGAGTTCGGGTAGAACCGCTTATTCCCATACTTTTGTGACTGTATAGCTGGTTTTCACATGACGTCACTAAAATTCAAACTACAAAGCTATTGATCTTCCTGAGATTTAACTT